TATACCGTCGACTGACAAAAATCCGTGACACGCATCCCTTTCAAAGGGACTCGATGGAGAGGCTACCACTGTTTGTGGAGGACGACGTGAGAAAAAATTTGTGACCACGTATTCCTTTTTTTCTCGATGGGAAAAATTTCGAAATTTCGAATTTTTCAAAATAGCTTCTTTTTTTTCTCTCGAAGAAGTGAGAATGTCTCTGATTGAGATTCTTCGCGAAATTTTTCAAAAATTTTTCAGTTTTCTTTTTCGGAGAGACAATGATCTCGATGGAGAGAGTTTCGAAATTTTGAATTTTTCAAAGTAGATTTTTTTTTTTCTAGTTTCTAGTTTCTGGAAAGAATGATAGATTATTATGATTAAAAAATTTCGACGTTATGGAGGAGAGGATTTATCCTTTGCGAAATTTCCAAGAAAATTTTTCTTTTTCAAAGAATTTTCCAGTTTTTCGAAGAGAGGACGATGGAAGAAAATCTGTGACCATACCTTTCTTTTTTTTTCGATGGAAAGAGTTTCGAAATTTCGAATTTTTCAAAATAAGTTCCTTTTTTTCTCTCGAAGAGATGAGAGATAACCAACTGAAAATCCAAGGAGAAAACTAGATTTGATTTGAAATATGATTCGAAATGTAATTAAGACGCGTTATTGGAATTTACCTTCCTTTCTTTTTGGCCCTCAATGAAAAAAATTTCGAATTTTTCAAAGTATCTTTTCTTTTCTCGAGGGGATATTGGAAATATCCGTGATTAAGATGAATTTTCATTATAATATTCGTATTTCGTGGACACATATTCATCGACCCAAGATTCAATCTGCTTTGCAAAATTTCGAAAATTCGCCAAAGTAGCTTTCCCAATTTTTCTAAAGGATGGCAATATTATGGCTGTATCAATCAACCTTTGATTAAGACAGATTAAGGGTTATCGATCGCGTTTTGCACGATAGAGAGAGATTCTCGTTCGAAAGCGAGTATAACCAGCTTTCCAATTTTTCGAAGCGGGAGGGGGGAGAGAGGCATCTCGATGATCGAGATGAGCGCGCTCGTCGGTGGAATTTTGCATAATTGAAGGGGGTGGGCTCGTTAGCGTTTAAACACAACGCGTTTCGAAAATGGAAATGTTTTAATTGGGACGGTGGTTTAACGGACGCTCGCTTATTACGATCTTATTTATACGCGCGAAATTAATTCTCGAAGGCTTTGTTGCGATCCCTCCTCCTCCTCCTCTCCTCCTCCTCTCCTCCTCCTCCTCTCCTCCTCCTCTCCTCCTCCTCCTCTCCTCCTCCCCTCCTCCTCCTCTCCTCCTCCCCTCCTCCCCTCCTCCTCCTCCTCCTCCTCTCTTCCACTCCTCCTCCTCCTCCTCCTCTCTTCCACTCCTCCTTCTCCTCCTCTCCTCTCCTCTCCTCCCCTCTCCTCCTCTCCTCTCCTCTCCTCCTCCTGTCCTCCTCTCCTCCTCTCCTCCTCCTCTCCTCCTCCTCCTCTCCTTTCCTTCTTTTCTTCTGCTCCTCTCCTCCTCCTCCTCCTCCTCCTTCATTCTACATTATATACATTCTACATTGTTTCTCTCTTTCTTTTTTTCTTCCCTTTTTTCGCGCTCTCCCTCGAAAAGTAAAATGGAATTCTTTTGAAAAATATTTTCGTTAATATTTAGGTTAGGTTTATGTCCTTTTAATTTTGGCAAAGGTGTCGTGTAATCGTCGATCGTAAAGATAAGGAGAAGTAATAATATTAATAAAATTAAGATAAGTGAATTTTCAAGATTATCGTATTGAAATATATTTTCGAATATAAAGTAAAAATGTAGTATGAAAATAGTTGGGCAAATTCTCGTATTAGATATTTTCAATAGCGATCCTCTGCTTTCACATTTACGTCTCTATGAAAAGGAAAAGAGAAAAAGAGAAAAGTATTCCTTTTTATAGAAATGGAAGCGATGCTCATATCTGATTTTTTTTTCTCTCTCTCTCTCTCTCTCTCTCTTTTTGGAAAAACCACGTGCCTATAAATTTTCGTATATTTTATCAATGGCTTCTCTAATGGAATAAAACCATTTCACCAACGGAGAAAATCCGCCTCTCGCTATTTTATCTGTGTATATATATGCTTGAACCACTTGCACGTATATGTATGATTATTCGAGAGGAAAAAAAAAAAAAATACTTGACGCGTAATTTACCTTCGATTTTTGATTCGTCTTGAACAAATCACAGAAGTGAATAGTGGAAAGTGTGTGATACGAATCAAGAAAATTATTACACCGCAAATACTTCCTTTCTTCTTTATCTCGTTTCCATTGAATTTAACGAACGTTTAAGTCTCTTTCTTTCTCTATTCTTGTATTCCTTCGCAAAGATCTTATTCAAATCGTTCGAATTCATAAATTCCACGATTCATTCCGTACAATTTTTATGATCAAAATTCTCTCCGATTTTTTCGACTCGATATAAATCGAATTAAATTAGCTTTTGTAATTTTTCGAAGGAATGACGATATGCGTGAATATCTTTGATTAATAAAAAGGATTCCACTTCGCGAGAGTAATAATTTTTCGAAGGAATAACATAATATCAATAAACAGTCGTTCGAATCTAAAGAAATTAATTCTGGTAATCCCTAGCTTCCTTCTGTCGACTATAAATTCCCTAGATTATCATGCGAAAGATTAAAAAACGCGAATTCAATAGCATTTTCTTTTTTTTTTTCGAAACGAAAAAAAACTTTAATAATCAAAAAAAAAAAAAATGGCGAATAAAAATTCGAAAGAACGACGTTATAAGAATATTTATAAATAGTTCTTCGAATCTAAAGAAATTAATTCTGGTGATCCCTAGCTTATTCGACTCGATATAAATTGATAAATCGAATCGAAAATTAGCTTTTTCAATTTTTCGAAGAGACGACGTTATGGGAATATCAATAAACAGTCGAATCTAAAAGAAAGTAATTCTGGTGATCCCTAGCGTTAACTAAAAATTTTCTACATTAGAAATCACGCGAAAGATTACAAGACACGTTTTTCTTTTTTTTCGAAACGGAGAGAGACTTGAAGTTCAAAAAAAAAAAAAATGGCGAATAAAGATTCGAAGGACGTTATAAGAATATCAATAAATAGTTATTCGAATCTAAAGAAATTAATTCTAGTGATCCCTAGCCTCCTTCTATCTAAAAATTCCCTAGATGAGGAATCGCGCGAAAGATTAAAGGACACGAGTAGCGTTTTACGTTTTCTTTCGAAATGGAGAGTGAGAGACTTGAAGATCGAAAAAAAAAAATGGCGAACAAAAATTCGAAGGAACGACATTATAAGAATATCAATAAATAGTTATTCGAATCTAAAGAAATTAATTCTAGTGATCCCTAGCCTCCTTCTATCTAGAAATTCCCTAGATTAGGAAGCGAAACATTAAAAGACACGTTTTCCTTTTTTTTCGAAACGGAGAGAGACTTGGAGATCGAAAAAAGATTGGAAGGGAGAGACATCGACGAAACGGATGGCATCGAATCGGCGCCAGTTTGCAAACAACGGGAACAATGATCGATAACCGGGGCGGATGCACGTATCACTGCGGTTGCGGGGACAATTCTTCTTGCCGATTCCTTCCAAACTGTTCCCATTTTCCTCCTTTTCTACCCTCTTCTTCCCTCTCAAACGCTCGAAACGATCTTAAACTCCGTCGATACGCAAACTTGTCCCATTCCTTCTTCGAATACCTCGAAATTATCATGGGGATTCAAGACTCGTTTTTCGACGGGATAAGTGAGAAAGGCTCGCGTAAATTAGTTGGAGAGACAATTTTCTCCTTCTTCGTGATTTTCAAAGTTCGCTATCCTATTCAACTTACATTCGTAAAATTCCAAAAAAAAGGATATTAGAAAGGATATTAAGATAATATATTAAAGATAAGATATATAAAGATACGAGTTAATATATAATATAAATTACTCGCGATATCCCTTTCGAGTCCTTAAATCTCAATCGTGCGATATCAATCATCCCATTTATCCCTGTTCGCCATTTTAACCTAAAAATTTCATCGATTCTCCCTTTTTTATTTTTTTATTTTTTATTTTTCATTTTTTTTTTTTTCCTCCAGTTTCACGGTACGCAATACGATGAATAGATAACGAACGAACGAACGAACGATGCACACAGGGGTTCTCGCGTCAACGGAACGATTAATCGAATTTCGAGGAACGGAACGAACGTCGTTTTTTGCGCGGCGTGCAAAGATGCACGTATCAAACTAGCAAATTTCATTGCTATTTTATTCTTTTTACTTTTTTTATTTATTTATTTATTTATTTTTTTATTTTTTTTTTTTTTCCAATTCCTTTGCTCGTTTTATTTTCGAACGATAGAGAATAGCAATTTGCATGCCTCGTGGTGGTGGTTTGAATATTTTCGAGCGGCTAGAAACGAAAGTTCGTGCATGGAATTACTCGTTTTCGATGAACAATTTCCCTCCCTCCCCCCTCCTTTTCTTCTTTTTTTTTCCATCCTACGTTTTCACAACAGATATTCCGAGGAAGAAGAAGAGTTTCGATCGTCGTTTCGCGAAAGAGGGGCCGGTTAAATTTATAAAACTACACTTGATGACAAATTTTCAAGTTTCCAAGTTTCTTGGGAAAGAGTTGTAAAGCGGATAGAATGAGAAAAGTTTTGGAATTGTCGTCGCGAATTTTCATTTCTCCTCGCAATAACGCGGCCAACTTTCCCACCAATCGCCCTCGAAATCGTTGTTTCGCCGCACCCCTCTTTGGCCGAGGCCAAACATTTCGCGGATTAATTTCACCCTTTCGTTCCTTCTCCAATACTGTCTTTTCAATAATTCCGCTCGAACTGTGTACGATTGGCTCGGCCAAGAGTTCCATCGAAAGACGATCGATATTTTTTCTCCCTCACTCTGTCTGTCGAAAACGATGAGTTTTGTGCATGTACACGAATGAAGAAGCGGGTAATAAATGTGCGCGTGGGAAAAATTTTTATTTTCTATTTTTGCAGAATCTTTGAGAATGTGAAGAAACAAAGGAGCGCAAATGCCCAACCAGGCACGGCCTCGTCGAGAGTGGTCTCCCCAGTCCCCTATACATGTATTGTAAGTACATCTTTAAATTCATCTTTTTTAACGAAAGTTTATATATTTAGTTTATATTAGATTTATATTATCGTATCATGTGAAATTTTTGTTGGAAAGAAAAACGATATATTTTTGAAACTATATATAATATTTGTTCGATCGAGCCTTGGATTTTCTTCATTCAGACCTCCAACCGATGTATTTCATTTTTTTATAAATTCTCCAATGTCGAATATTTTATCTTTTAAAAACAACACCGAAACGAGTATGAAATATTGTCTCATAGAAGAATAGGTCTATCGACTTACGAAGCTTGTTTCTCGATCCATTTCTCTGTTACGATATCTCCTCGACGAATCGTTCTTTTTACGAACGGTAACGATGATTTCGTTATTCGTTCAGTGTCCATCTCTCGTCACAGCTTGTAATTCTACTCGAAAATGGACTCGTGCCGTTTCGAGCTCTGCGCGATGACCACGCTTCGAGACTTTTCATTCTTCTTTGGTTGCCGTCGATACCCACTTTTCCAATTTCTTCGCCTTGACTCGAACGCGCGAAAACCGTTATTCTACCTCGAGACTCGTTTTTGAAATTCTCAGACCCGAATTTTTGAAACCGCCATCGAACGATCTTTTCGTCGATGGAATCTTCTTCGAAAGCTAACCTAATATTTCGATGAATTTCGGCTGCACTAGTTTAAAATTCGTACAGGAACGATATTCCAAATTCGTTCAAAAGTTCGTGGAAAAACAGTTAAACTTAATAACAAAAAGCTACATCTGCATAAGAACAATATTTTAAATTCGTTCACTTTTTGAAAAACAGTTAATAACGAAAAAGAAGTTATTGTTAATTATTTGTTGAATTGAGATTTGAACTTCTCTTCTATCTTTCGATATTTTTTAATGTTAAAAACTGGAAGCAGCGATAATAATGAATTATCGAATAGTAAATTAATCGAATTATCTTTTCGAAAGCTAACCTAATATTTCGATTTTAAACTACATCCGTACAAGAAATAATAAATATTCCAAGAAATAAATATTCCAAATTCGTTCACTCGTGAAAAAACAATTAAACTAATAACAAAAAAGAAGTTATTACGGAAAGAAAAAGTAAGGTTAGGTTAAGTAGAGTTTATGGTTGAACGTCATTTATTCTAAAATTGGCAAGTTGATGTGCTGCATAATATACAATTCTGTTGAATTTTGAACTCTTTTGTATCTTTCGATATCTTTCAATATCTTTCAATGTAAAAACGAAAAATTCGAAGCACCGATAACAATGAATTATTCGACTTACCGATGGAATCTTCTCAAAACCTAACCTAATATTTCGATGCGTTTTAAGCTACACTCGCACAAGAACAATATTCTAAATTCGTTCACTTTTGAAAAAACAGTTAATAACTTAAGAAAAAGAAGTTATTGTTAATTATTTGTTGAATTTGAACTCCTCTTCTATCTTTCAATATCTTTCAAAAAATAAAAAACGAAAAACTCGAAACATCGATAATAATGAATTGTCGAGTAATAAATTATTCAACTTATCTGGATGGAATCTTCTCCTCAAAAATTAAGGTAATATTTCGATGCGCTTGTCCTATACTCGTTCGTAGAAACAATAATCTAAATTCGTTCATTTCTGAGAAAACAATTAAACTAATGTGAAAAAGAAGTTATTACAGAAAGGAAATATAAAAGGACAAATATAGTGAAAACAAAGCAAAGTATAGGTCAAGTAGAGTTTACGAGTCGCGGTTGATCTTCCTGTAAATATCCATTGACTGTGTACAGGATCGAAGATCGATACGATTATCACGCAACAATTCTCATCCTATCTATAATTTTTCGATTACACATTGCGATTAAATAGCCTTCTATCGAAGCAAAAGATTTTCCGATTTTTCGAGAAACTTCGACAAGATCATTAATTAATTTAAATCTACGAGAAAATTGCAACTCGATTCGCTCGCGTTTCAATTTATTAATTCAACGCGTTTCGATAAAATTCCTCGTTAGAAATCTTTTCGATGGAGGAACTTTCCTCCTGGCTAAATCTATTTATCCAGGAATTTATTTTCGAATCGAATCGTTAGACGTAATCGCGAAGAAAATCGCAAAAAAGAAAGAGTTGAAATGAATCGTTTCACGAAGATGAAAAAGTTTCGCGAACAAGCGTTAATCCAGAAAGATAAAGAGAGAGAGAGAGAGAGAGAGAGAGAGAGAGAGAGAGAGAGAGAGAACGGTATTAGAAACAGTGGAAATATCGCGTGTGGTTAAGGAGCCAGGTCCCTTGTATCCGTTGCAAGAAGATCGTCGCGGTTCCTAATTGGGCCAATTGCCAAGATAAGATCTTGAATTTGAAGGAGCGGACATGGCGCGCGGTCACGAACCGAACACGTGCCCGACACGGCCGGACGTAATTAAAAGGCGGGGGACGCTGCGCCATGTTGAGCACGCACCAAAATTACACTCGTCATAACCGCTACGTCCATCCTACGCTACGCCACTGTAACGAGAAGCGAGAATTGACGGTGGATAACTCGCACGAAAAACCTTCCAACCGTCGAGATACCGTTGGCGAAAGCGGAGTTTTTATTTCCCGCTTATAAAAATATTAACGAGAACGGGAAGATATATAATAGATCTTCTTTTAGAATTCTTTAAATTCTTGTTCTTCGTAAAAGCGTACGGGGGGAATATATGATATGGTGATAATAGGTGCACACACGATCGTTAAAATAATTATTCGTTAGTCAGAGGTTAGATTAACAGGAGTAGATAATCGGGCGGAAAGTCTTGAATTAAGTTTCTTGTTGATTTAACAGATAATTGGAGAAGAAGGGGCGAGACGAAGAAGGTTAGAAATTATTTTCTCTCTCTCTCTTTTTCTCTCGACGCGTTTATTATATTATTATATGCCAATATGTGGAAAGAGGGACGGGTTTGTTCGTCGCGTTTGGATCAACCGCGCGTGGAAATTGCGATTCGGTCCCGATAAATACGGTCGACGCGTTTCCAAAGAGAGTCGCTACCGATGCGAGATAAATATTTGGCGTTGCGCCAAAAACCGAATCTTCTCTTTCTCTGCCCGTGACTTCGCTCGCTCGGCCGGAATCAACCGATCGAGAGAAAGAAAGAGAGAGAGGGGGGGAGGAAGGGAGAGTCCTGCGGTTTTTGCACGCTGTTTATTCTCCTCCTTCGATCGGCCGATAACTTACCATCCTTCTCCGCGAAAATTTTCGTTTCTTTTTTCTTTTTTTTTTTTTTCTTTTGATTTAAGTTTGAGCAATTTGATCGTTTTAATGAAAAAAAAAAGGAAAACAATATTTTTTAATATATCGTTATCGAGATTATCGGTTTGTCAAATAACGTTATTAGAGGAAAGTGTTTCTTCGAAATGGTTTAGGTGTTAGGTTAGGTGAAGTAGTTGAGAAAATTGAAATCATTAAATCGGTTAAGTGAAGGCGAGAGAAAAATTTAATTTTTGGTTTATATCGGCGGTTGAGAAATTGGATTAGATTAATAAAAATGACAATTGTCGAAAAATAAAATTTTCTCGCTGTTCGATGTATTATCTTTTTTTTTTTTTTTTTTTTTTAAATATCAATCCAATTTCGAAGGAATAGATTGTTTCTTGAATAAATTCGAAATTTTATCGCAATAATACGGATATTTCATAAGAGGATAGTCGAGGCAAAAATTTCGCTTTGGCGAAAATTCGTCCCCGTTCGCCGATCAAATCAATCACGGGATAATGATAATTCTCTCTTTGTTTCGCCAATGAAATTTATACCATAGAAAAATCTTTAATCTCGTTACGAATCGGCGAATCGTCGAGAGATGTCGTCGCGTAAATTGCACATAAACGCGTCACGCGAGATTAAAGGATTATAGTCGCGCATAAACATCGCACGTAACGAAACTATCTCAGGCCGATAAATATTCGAGGATAAAAGTTACGATTTTTCTTGTGTTCCTGAAAAAAAAAAAAAAGGATTCGAAAGTTTTTCTTTTTTTCTAACGAATAGAGAGCCATTGGTTAGTCACATTCCAATATGGCGAAGAATCCATTCATCGACTCGTAACATCGATCTGCTCTGCAGGTTTTCGAAAACGAAGAAAACGAAAAAGAAAATTAAAAAACGAAGAGTGTTTAATTCGACGTACATTTTTATAATTATAATATTTTTAATAATCAATGTACATGTCTTGGAAAGCATTAATCTATCGCTTCGATATTGAACAAATTATTTTTCTATTTTTCTAGAGGATTGTATGCGAGTGAATGAAAGAAATCCAGAATTTGTGATCGAAGAATAAAGAAACAGATTTTCCGCAAAAAAAAAAAAAAAAAAAAAATATTCCGTTGAAAAATCAAAAAACAAAGAGTATTGTATTTCTACGTGACAATCAACGTACATCTTGGAAAGCATCGATCTAACGCTCCGATATCGAACAAACGTCTGTTTCAGAGGATCGCGTATAAATTGCACGGTTCTCCGAGCGAAGAGAGAAATCTAGTTCGCGATCGAAGAATAAGGTTCTCTCTCCGGGAAACGGATGTCGAGCCGAGTATAACATTTTTCACCGTATATCGCGACAGCTTTTTCCCGGCCGCCGTTTCACAAGAAATCGATGATGCGCGATACGCAGGAAACGATACGATCGTAAAAGAAAAGAAAAAAGAATTGTTCGCCAATTTTTAAGCCTCGACTCGAGGCTCGCCGAGTTGAAAAGTTTCTTTTTACTCCCTTTTTAAATTTATTTCGGTTGTAAGATCGAAACTTTCCTCTCCCCTCCTCTCCCTTTTTCCCCCTTCAGAGACTCGTTAACCGTTTTTATTTAGAAACTTGAGAGAACGTGCTTTCCTTTCCCCGCCTCCTGGAGAGCAATTAAGATACGCGAGCAACGCGTTAATTCCTTCGTCTCGTTTCGTCCATCGGGATCGCACTCGTCCTCGCAGTTGGAAACATTTTCGACCGTTTTCGTTCGCTCGCCATCTTGGGACCTATG